CAATTGCTAGACTCTGTATTCTAATAACTTCATCTTTCATTGGTCCATTTCCTGAAAAGGAAGCATGGGAATCTCCCAAATATGATTGGGGGGAGGGGTAGTGGCAGGGAGAGAAAATATATAAGCGATATGGTGGAGGGGATGGAGGAAGGAAAAGAAAAAAAATTAAGCTTTCATGCGCTTTTCCACAGTGAGACTCAAACTATGTGTCATGTCAGCTAGTTGTGTTTAATAGACACATTTTACTTAAGTTTAGGTGTTAAATAGGTACAATCTCAATTAAGATGTCTAAACGGTAATTAATATCATGTTTAAAGGGCTACATATGTATTTGGCCTTTAAATATTGTCGTATTAGGAGGGAAGTAGAAGCGTTTCAAGTATTAATCAAGCAAAATCCATTGATAACTCGGCTTCCCAGAAATCAACTCTAAGATCTCTGCAGTCATCTCTCTTGCAGAAAGTTAAGCACAATTATGTAGTTACAATTCTTGATGCATTTCAATTGAGAAATCCGGACTATGCTTTTTCATCTATCGTCAACTATATCATTCAGTATGGTTAAAATATTAACACACGCTTTTCATTCTCATGATTCATTTGAAAGCTATTTCCGAAACTGATATGTGAAAGGAACAGCCATGACAAAGAAGCTTTGTGCAGTAGGGGGATAATATCATAATCAAAATTTTGATGTCGATAAGTTTCAAAACTTGTAGTGAAGTATAAAGAAAAAAGTGACATTATTACTCATCAGTGAGTAACCAAACCAAGTGCCAAGTGGAGGTGAAAATAGTACCAAGTGAAAGTGAAACTTAGCCCCTTGCATTTATGCAGCACAGGGCTAGTAACCCGAAACATTTTGCTCCATACCGATCAAAGATGTTAAAAGGAAAAGGATACGTCATAACTTGAGCTTGACCTAAGTAATGCCATACCTCTTAATCAAAGATTACCTCTGTTTCAATGGATGTAGTGGAGGAACTCATCTCAGTGTGAAGTTTGTTAATTTCTATTTGATGTCAAATTGGCACCCGTGATAGTGAGAAAAGAACTGAGCAAACAAATTAATCTTTGCATGTCGTGGATGGATTCAAGGAATACATGAAAGTCAATGAAGATCACAAGTTAAATAAGCAAATAAAATTTTCTGAAATAAGCTTCTTAGAAACAATAATTTCTTGCAAGCAGTATGATTTATTGATAGTTGTAGGCTCTAATTCAAAAAAATCTTTCTTTCTTCAGATATCATTTTTAGCGCCATTTTCTACAACCTTTCTTGTTATCATGCCTTATCTAGTGGTGCTAACGAACACCGTAAAAGACACTGAGATTGAAAAGGAGAAAACTAGTAAAAGAGAAAGGTAGAAGGAGATAGAATAAGAAGTTTCTATGTACTGAAGATGAAGGGAAAAGAAGAGGAACTCTCTAGTCTCTGCAAATACTATGTATTAGAAGCAGGAGCAATCATCATGTAATGATAGTGGAAGCAAATAAAACATGTCCAAACAATGACAGAATGGTATAACTAACAAAATTAAAGCACAAAACCTCGCCAGTCATCTTTGGTAGGTCGTTAGCAGTCATATGTTAATTGTGTATTCAGTGGTTTCCAGTTCAAAAGGCAATGCATTGTACCAAAAAGAGAAACTTTTTGATACAGTGGAATTCATATTTATATAGAGAGAGGTGTTGCAAGTAGTGTGCCTGGAGGTGTTACCACCAAATGATATTCATACAAGTTTAATGGTCGGATTCTTCTTCATTGTCTAAGCTGAACCAAATTAATCGATATGCTGGTAATGTAAATCATATTACACCTCTGGCAGTGAGCGTGAGTATAGATATATATCTTCGATTAATATATTTTATAATAATATGTTTGAAGCCAGTGAACGAATACTACATCTGCCCAAAAAGTGACCGAGTCCTTGGGGAGTTATATATGCCTGGTTCCCAATTCCCATTTCAACAAGTGGGGTCTGGGGAAGGTAATATATGCGCAGACCTTAACCCTACTCCGAGGGAGTAAAAAGGTTATTTCCGATAAATCCTCGGCTCAAGAAGACGAAAAGAGACAATATATCAATATCATCAACAGAAACCATAGAAATAATAACAACATTATAAGAACCAGAAAATAGATGAAAAGCAAAAATAATAACTAGTAAATAAAGATCTGTCACTATGAAAAAGGAAGAGTAATGCGAACACAACATTGACCACATAGCAGTCTAAGACAATATTCTATCAGACTAGCCTCACACTGGTACGAATTATAAATATACTCCTAATCTACAAGATTAATACTCGACCTCCACAGCTTCATATCAAGGGCCATGTCCTCGGAGATCTGAAGTCACGTCATATCCTGCACGATCACCTCTCCCTAATAACTCTTAGGCCGCTCTCTACCTCTTCTCGTTCCCACTAAAGCCAACCACTCGCACCTCCTTACCAGGGCATTTGGGCTTCTCCTCTGTACGTGCTTGAACCATCTGAACCTCGCTTCCCGCATCTTGTCTTCTATGGGAGTCACGCTCACCTTCTTCCGAATATCTTCATTCCTAATCTTATTCATCCTAGTGTGACCGCACATCAACCTCAATATCCTCATTTCTGGTACTTTCAACTTCTGGATATGTGAGTTCATAATTGGACAACACTCAGCTCCATAGAACATGATCGGTCTAACCACCGCTCTATAAAACTTACCTTTGAGTAGCGGTGGCACTTTCTTGTCACATAGGACTCCAGATGATAACCTCCATTTCATCCACCCCACCTCTATACGGTGTGTGACATCCTCATCGATCTCCCTATCCCCTGGATAACTGGCCCAAGGTACTTGAAACTTCCTCTCTCGGGGATGACATGTGATTCAAGCCTCACATCCATGCTCACTTCTCTCGGCTCAGCGCTGAACTTGCACTCTAGGTATTTCATCTTAGTCCTGCTCAACTTGAAACCCTTGGACTCAAGGGCATGTCTCTAAACCTCCGACCTCTCATCAATACCGCCTTGTGTCTCATCTATCAGAACTATGTCATCAGTGAATAACATACACCATGGAACCTCCCTTGAATATAGTCTGCTAGTGCGTCCATCACCAGGGGAAATAAGAACGGGTTGAGCATAGATTCTTGGTGTAACCGTATAACAACCGAAAAATACTCCGAATCGCCTTCCACTGTCCTAGCCCGAGTCTTAGCTCCATCATACATATCCTTAATCGCCCTAATGTAAGCAACCAATACACCTTTAGCCTCTAGGCATCTCCAAAGAACCTCTCTAGGAACCTTGCCAAATGTTTTTCGCAGATCAATAAACACCATGTGCAGATCCTTCTTCCTATCCCCTGTACTGTTCCACCAACCTCCTAATATGGATAGCTTTCATAGTAGAACTACCCAGCATGAATCTGAAGTGGTTGTCGGATATACACACTGTCCTCCTCACTCTCACTTCTGCCACTATCTCCCAAACGTTCATGGTATGACACCATAATTTGATACCCCTATAGTTGTTACAACTCTGGATATCACCTTTGTTCTTGTACAACGGAACCACCGTACTCCACCTCTACTCATCTAGGATCCTCTTTTTCTTGAAAATACATTAAACAACCCAGTCAGCCACTCCAAACCTGCTCTACCTACACCTCCAAAATTCTATCAGAATTTCCTCTGGCTCAGTCGCTCTACCCCTACTCATCTTACGTATAACCCCCATGACCTCCTCAACCTTGATGCATCTACAGTACCCAAAGTCACGGTGACTCTCGGAATGCCCAACTCGCCTTGCATAATATCCTGATCTCCTTCTTCATTCAGAAGTTTATGAAAGTAAGCCTGTCATCTCTGCTTAATCTGAGCCTCTCTCATCAATACTCTACCGTCCTCGTCTTTGATGCACCTCACTTGGTTAGTCTCGAGCCTTCCTCTCTCTCACCTTGGCCAACCGGAATAACTTCTTCTCCCTGCCTTTGACCACTAGTTCCTCGTATAGACTACCAAAGCCACAGTCTTAGCCTCTGTGACCGCCAGCTTCGCCTCCTTCCTAGCTACCTTATACCTCACTCTGTTTGCTCTCCTCTCCTCCTCGCTTGTGTTCCCTATTAACTTCAGGTACGCCGCCTTCTTCGCTTTCACTTGACCTTGGACCATTTCATTTTGCCACCAGTTGCCTTTGTACCCGCCAGAGTAACCCGCCGAGACCCCTAACACCTCTATCGCCACCTCCCTTATATAGTCCACCATCGTCGACCACATATCGCTCGCGTCCCCATTACTCCTCCATGCTCCCATAGCCAATAAACTCCATTCTAACTCCTGGGCTTTTTTCGTCCTCGTG